AAGAAACATACATGCCTTGTCCGGGATTCGAACCCAGGACCTTTCTGATGTGAGGTCAGCTCCATGACTACTACACAGTCCGATCGGCTTGCTTCTGATATGTTTAACAAGATTTGATAACAACTACGATGAGGTCAAAATATTACATAATAAGAATTGCAATAGCAAGCATTTTATCTGACGTGGTGAACAGGATCAATCACGTGATCTGACGTGATAAACAAGACGACGTCTGAGGCGTTTGGGAAGTTAATTGGTTAACAAGCGTTTTATCAAACACGTGATCTATAAGTTTAATCATATGATGCATTTAAATTCATATGCTGATATAATAACACATGATTCGTTAAAAAAGCGAGACCAAATATTTGAAATGATGTCAAGCGTCATTGTTGATTAACGGGATTTGTATAATTTCCTTCACCTTTTTTAACAACTCGTTTCTATGTCTAAGAGAATATGGAAATTTTTAATCGAAATTAAACTAAAAAAGGAATATACACAGTCCAGTCACATTAATGTGACCACTACCTACTTAAAATGTCAACGTGAAATAACCAATCATGGAAGGCAGGTGGCAGCACAGTACAGTGGAGTGTATATAAAGGATGCCCTTGGGCGTCGGAAAGCATTTCAAACGTTGACGTAATGCAGTAACGTAGTGATTTATCCGACGTCCAAAAGGCCATGATTATTGGCTTTCGGATCAAGGGTGGAAGCATTTCGTAAACAGCTAATTTTGTGAACTGTTCACGTGCCGCTGTGGTAAAAGTATACCATGCATAGCAAAAGGACGCAATCCAAAATCAGAAGGCGTGGCACTTGTCTTGCACCACGGGCTATAGATGACAGAGGCGAAGGAAGGCCACGGAGATGCGTTCTGGCGAATAGACGTGCAAGTGTTGAGCAACTGACCGCCCAGATGAACCAAGGGGCTACCAAGAGTGTATCCTCAACTACGGTTCAGCTAACATTGCTGCGCATGGGCCTCCGCAGCAGACGCCTGGTTCATGCACCTATGCTGACTGCTGTTCATCGGCGACGAAGGCTGGAATTTGCACGCCAGTACCGCAACTGGATGTCCACAGTGTGGCGACAGGTGGCTTTTTCCGATGAATCACGTTTTATGCTCCATCGGACAGATGGATGTTGCGTATACGACGTAAAACGTCTAAAAGCAAACACCCTGCAACAATTGCCGGAAGGATCCAGGCTGGTGGAGGGAGCATTTTAGTTTGGGAATGCTTTTCCTGGCACTCACTGGGTCCACTCATCGCTGTGGAAGGTAGAATGGATCAGCACAAGTACGCATCTGTCCTTGCGGATCATGTCCTCCCCTACATGCGAATGATTTTTCATCAGAATGATGACATCTACCAGCAGGACAATGCGAGGTGTTATACAGCTCGCAGTGTATGAGCGTGGTTCGAAGAACATCAGGATGAGTTTACAGTAATTCCCTGGCCAGCAAACTCACCGAATTTAAGCCCAATCGAGAATCTGTGGGACCACCTCGATCGGGTTATTCGCTCCATGGATCCTCAAGGGCGTAATTTAGAGCAACTGGCCACGGCACTGATGTCGGCATGGTTCAACAACCCAGTAAACATCTTCAGAAAATTAGCTGACTCTCTTCCTGTAGGTCTCGCAGCNCTCGGGACCGAACGTGGTTCGGATAATGAAATGTTCGGATAATTGGAAAGTTGTTTAAAACCTAGTTTAAATGATTATTATTTATTCACCAACTTCCCTTCACACTTTTTCTAGGCTTAGAACTGGCAGTACTATCTAAAATAGCTCTGACGAGTTTAAGATTTTTTTTTCAATTTTTAAATAAATTTTTTTAAATTTTTTTTTCAATTTAAATCATTTTTATCATATTTAAGCTTTTTTTATAATTTTTTTTGTCAATTACTGATTTTACCACATTTTTCTTTATTTTCCATTGCAAAAGATATCCAGCAAAGACTTTTGTTTCGAAGAACATGCTCTTTTTTGTGCAACCATATCCCTTATTCTTTTTAAATAAATCAACTGAATTGGATCAACATCATTTTGACGTTCTAGGCAATTCATTGCAATATCCAATGAATTGCATGCTTCTTATGAGAAGGTTCACGATCTTGAACTTGATTACGTACTTCTTCCTCTTAATCTGAGGAGTTCCGATTTTCATTCAAAATTTCAGAAACAATTTCATGATCAATCCCGAGTCGTTTTCAGTGTCTCGACACCAGTCTTCTATTTCTTCTGCTGTATAACATGGCATATTTTCACCCGAAAGATCTACCGATTCACAAACTGCAGTTTTGTTTGTTTTTCTGTTAAGAATTTTATTCCAAGATTTAAGATTCCAAGCACTGTAATCACTAATCATTAATCATGAGTGACAACTACCCATCCCCCCAATTGTAGAATTTCGGCACTTATCTATTCATAAACACATTTCGCTTTCCAACAATTGTCAAAATGAAGCTCGCATTCTTTGATGATAATTTTCAGTTGAAGAGGGCTAAAGGGGTATGTAGGCTACTATAAGAAAACTGCTGAAAAAGGTTGTAAATTAAATATGGTCTTCAGATGTAGTGGATATTATCTATTCCTCTAAATTTAGAAAAATTGTCGATAAGTTAAAAAAAAATTCTAAACTTAAAAAAAGAGAAGAAGAAAAAAAGCGAATTCGGACATAGTTCGGATAATTGGACGTTCGGATAATAAGGGTTCGGATAATCGGCCCTCTACATAGTCAATTCCTACTTAGGTCAAGAAAATTTTTATTTTATTTTAGTTACTTTTTATTAAATAATTAAAATCTTTTCTCCCTTATGAAACTAAAATCAATTAATTACATTTAATGAATGAATTAATATTTGAAAAAAACTGTATTAACATCAAGTGTGTAATTCAGTACAAGTTTAAAAAATTGTATTTGAACCTGAGTGAATGAATAAAAAGTATTTTTTTAAAGATTTAAAATTTGAACAAGATAAACGGGGAGTGTGAACTAATAATGGGAATTGAAAAAGGAATATGCATTTGTTTCCGAATGGTAATTTAACCTTTTGTTTGAGGTCCAGGTTTATAAATAATTCCATTTTCTATTGTCCCTTTTTTAAATTTTTTTTTCTGATACTTACTTATTTTAAGAAATCTATAAATCGCGAACGCTAATTGAAAACAAAAACGACATAAAATAAAATTGCAAAAACTCTTCTTTTTTTCCCAAAAGCGAGTTTGTTTTAATCATGTTTTGAAATTATAATTGTGTAAAGAATACTTAATTAAACATCCAAACCAGATATTACTTAAAAATATCTTGAAAATAATTTCCCCTCTATTTAGTTTTAAGAGGTGGGATGTAATTGTGTATTTATTAATTGACGGGATTTTCTCTTTATACTTTTTTTCCCCGCCTTTGCTGAATGACAGATTTTCTTTTTTTGTCTAGTAGATAAGTCTTTTTAAGCATGACATGTAAATCCTTAAACATGTCTCCTCAGTTACCATGACAGCTTTCATTTTTGTGATATTTTTTTTATTTTGAAAAAAAGCTACAACGAGAACAAAAGTTGTTTACTTTTCTGGACAGTTAAAATCATTTACAGAATGGATTAAGCGTCACAGTTAATGGAGTTTTAATCTGTTTTCGAACATGTCACGCAATAAACTGATCATATTATCCGTAGAAGTGTAAATAGTCTTACCGTTAAATTTTCTTCCGGTTTGAGAGGATGAACGTTAACTGAGGTAACCCTGAAAGTTTTTAAAAAAATAAATTTTAGATTAAACAGTTTTGACAGCTACCAATAGGTTCAAAGTAAGTAAATAAAAAGAAGTAGGTACTTTATTTAGGGCGCACTAAAACGTCACTGTCTAGGAAACATACCTAAGAATGATCTAAACATTACAATTTCGATCCGCTTTAGTAGTCTGTGTAAAGTCTACAATAGTTTCACGAAGACACGCACCCTGGCTCCCGCCGCAGGCTGATCAGAGTTTTCACCCACCGGTTCTTCAATGACCATAGCCTTCCATAGCAATTTAGTCCAAGTTTTTTACCTAAGCCGTGATGGCTCAGGGGAAAGAGCGTTCATCTTTCAATAAGATAAACCGGGTTCGAATCCCAGTGATGGCTTGTCGATACGAATTCCACATCGGGAGAGGACACATAAAGCGGACTTTGTGCTGACGTAAAATATCCTCAGTTGTAGATGGATCATGGGTTAGAGTTCCATTGCCGTCTGGCTAACCGTATACTTCCTATCACTTTATGAAAAGGTTAAGTGCCGGAGTGAACTGATCGTAAAGACACTGTTCCTAGTTGAACACCGAAGTCAAGCATCACTGGCTGCGGTCAGTGTGCGGGTGGGTGAGTACTTTGATCAGCCTGCGTAGGGACCGAGGTTGCACGGTATCGGTCCTCGTTAATATGTTCTACCGTTAAGTGCTCAAATTCGAGCAGGTCGTCGAGCTACCAGAGTAGGGGAGCCATCCCCTCTGCAGATGATCAAAATTGCGATTTTCTTGTCTTCGGATCATCCTCAGGGATGTTTCCCAGACCGTCGCCTATAGCCCATTGTGCAGCTCGAATACGCCATCTAAAGAGAAAACCACTTCCATGCTTTTGGCCCTTCCCTTTTCCCTTTCCTACTCTTTTCCGTTGCATAAGAATGCACTACGGTATTGTTCCTTATCTTAATATTTTTCGTATTAATTTGTTAAAAATATTTTTTTAAATGTTCATGACGCTTTGTTTTAGAACTATGCTTAATGTAGTTTTGAGTTCCCTACAGTTTCCTAACTTAAAAGATTTTTATCTATTTGAAAATCAAGACAGAAACTAACGTACATCCTTCTTCTATGACTCTCCACACTCTAATGGTGAAAGCATGCGAAGTGTTGCCATAGGTAGAGAGTTCTGCTGTACGCCACCTGTTGCCCATTTCCATTGTCAATAATGTAGTTTTGTTTTTTAAGCAAATACATTCTTTTCTTTTCAGAAAATCCTTTTCACTGTGACTGTCGTATATCTTGGTTCCGTGACCTGGTGCAAGAACAGAAAGTCGTGAGCATGCCAAGGGAAACGCGTTGCAGTACACCACCAGCACTCAGAAGTAAAGCCGTTTCTTATGTCACTTCAGAGAATCTTGGCTGCATTAATGGCGGATGGAACTATGAGGCTTCTCTCTTCACAGTTTTCTTTCTATTCTATATCGTGATGAATTCCTTTGATGTTGTCTGACTGTTTAGTATTTGTACCTATCAAGTTATGTCGCCAAAACAGTCACCCCTGCATCTCTGCTTCTACAAATCATCAACAGTCGCGGAATGAAGAATTTTCAATTTTGGTTTGCTTAAGGTTATCAGGGGTCATTTTAGGATTCATTCCATAAATGATTTTATCATAAAAACAGACTCTTCACAAAACATTTTACCCTAATATCGCATCCTTCACAAATAACATTGTAAAAACGGCATTTAAAACATTATTTTATCGTAAAGACGGAACCTTCGCAAACTATATTACGGTAAAATCCTAGAATAACCCACCTTTTGGCGACTTTTTGAAATCTCGCCAAGTTGCCGATTATTACTGGGATCAACGTTGCTTTTTGATCATTAAAAAACAATTAAAATTATTACAAATTTATTACAATATTTTTTTATAGAATAAAAAATAACTTACCTTTACTCTGGTGGCTCATCTTTTGACACTTTCAACCGGTACCGCACGAAAAAAAAATTTAAAAAATGAAATAACGGTAATAAATAATGATAATAATAACGGTAATAAATGAAATAGAGGTTAAAAAATGAAATAATAACGTTGAATTTAGCAGCAAGAGAACAGAAGCATAATTGGCGAAAAAATAAACTCTTTTACTTATTTTCTAACGTATTCCAACTTTCGCGTAGGTATACATATCAAATAACCAATTAGGTTTAAGAATTTTGGTGGTGTGATCGGACGATTAATAATCTCCCGGAAATATCTTCCGGAAACCTAGTTCGGCGAGATTTCAAAAACTTGCTTGGCGATATTTAAAAAAATCGCCCCGAGGTGGGCTATTCTAGGATCCACCCCAAATCCTTCATAATATATTTTACCTTTTTCAAATTATATTATTGTAGAAACAAACCTTTCACAAATTATATTATCGTAAAAACGAACTTTTCACAAAGTATTTTACCATAAAAACTAATCTTACGCAAATTTCTTGATAGTGAAGAAAGAATTATCACAAAGTATTTCACCGCAAAAACGGATCGTTCGTAAATTACAGTTAGAACGGACTCTTTCACAAGATAATTTACCGTAAAAACAGATTTTTCTCTAATTATAGTGTCGTAAAAACAGACCTTTTACTAAATGAATTATCGTAAAGACGGAATCTTCTTTTACAAAATTCTTTTGAAAAAAAGGAGTTGACTACGTCTTTAAATTACAATTTTAAAACTACAATTCTTTAAAAGTTTTTGAGATTTTTGTGTCCTCTCACGTAGAACAAGTAATATATATATAAAAAAAATTAAAAGTCAATTCCTACTTAGGTAAACAAAGAAAAATTTTTATTTCATTTTAGTTATTTTTTATCAAATAATTAAAATTTTTCTCTCCTATAAAACTAAAATTTATTAATTACATTTAATGAATGAATTAATATTTGAAAAAACTGTATTAACATCACTTGTCATCTACTGCAAGTTTAAAAAAATGTATTTGAACTTGAGTGTATGAATAAAAAGTATTTTTTATTAACGATTGAAAATTTGAACAAGATAGAGGGAGAATATGAACTAATAGTAAAAATTGAATAATGGCCCCTTGTTGTCTTTCATTTAAGCTTTTTTAAATGATGACCAAACTTAGGGGAAAATATAACTGTTAAAATTTCGCTGGCATAACTTAATGCTAAAAAATGGACAGAACTTACAACAAATGATACCGAATTCATGAAATGACTCATATATACCCAAATAAAGACATTCAACGCAACAAAAAGGGTGAAAATACGACTGTTTATTGGAGCACATTATATGAATATGGAATATTTTATAAAAGAATAATGGTGTTCCATAAAATAAAAAATGACGGTGTGTTGATGAATGTGTCAAAGTATTGTTCTGTGTTAACATTCCTTTATCTATAAGTGTTGTGTCTCGTAATATATATATACATTGTTTGTTGTGTTCGAATTAAAATTCACACTTTACACCAAACATGTGGCGAATTTTTTCTTTCTTTCCTTTCACACAATCAAACCTCGTGGCAAAAAAATGTGTTGCTTTCAGATTAAAACACAATTTTTGTTGTTTTTGAAACTCATCCTCTTGGTGTAGGAAGGCCTACACTAGGTCTAAAAGACCCCGTCGCCTTAGAATATGGAAAATCTTCTCTGGCTCAATCAACAGCTGCCTCCAGGAAGCTCCTAAATAAATAAGATAGGTAGATACTTTATTTACGTCGCTCTAGAGCTGCACAATAGGCTATTGGCGACGGTCTGGGATTAAAACACAATTTTTGTTGTTTTTGTTACTCATCCTCTTGGTGTAGGACGGCCTACACTAGGTCTAAAAGACCCCGTCACCTTAGAATATGGAAAATCTTCTCTTGCTCAATCAACAGCTGCCTCCAGGAAGCTCCTAAATAAATAAGATAGGTAGATACTTTATTTACGTTGCTCTAGAGCTGCACAATAGGCTATTAGCGACGGTCTGGGAAACATCTCTGAGGATGATTCGAAGACAAGCCATCACAATTTTAATCCTCTGCAGAGGGGTTACCCTGCTTTGGTAGCCCAACGACCGGCGCGAAGTCGAGCACTTTAGGGTAGAACAGCTTAACGAGGACCAGTACCGTGCATCCTTGGTTTCTACTCAGGCTGATCAAAGTGGTCACCCAGGCGCTTACTGAGAGCAACCAGTGATGCTTGACATTAATGTTCCTACGGGAACCGTGTTTTTACGATTAGTCCACTGCGGGACTAAACAATTAAGAAGGTGAAAGGCCGGGATAGCCTGGTCGGTAGGGCGCTGGGCCCATATCCAAGAGGTCGTAGGTTCGATCCTCGCCGGCCGAAGACTCCCCGTGTAGTAAATGGTGACTGATGCACGTTAAATCTGTCGAGTCTCAAAGTCCTCCGTGTTCCCACAACAAATCAAAACCTCTGGGGGTACTGATCCAGGAGTTTCCTTGTCTTCTGGATTGGTTCAAAATTACAAGGCTACGGAGTTGAACGTAAGTAGTCGTAAACCCATGAAATTGGGTCGGCTGTTCAACGACGGTTATAAAATAAAATAAAAATTAAGAAGGTGAGCGGAAAGATAACAAGAAGAGCAAGGAGAAAAAAAAATAAAATTTTTGTACCACTACCGTTTATTTATCAACTGAAACGAAGATGGAATTTCGAAATACAGTGATGAAATACCAATCCAAATTTGGTACTGAAAATTCTGTGTTATTTCAAGTTGGAACACATTTTAAAGGATGCAGTTAAATCTTAATAACTAACAATTGCTGGGTTGCACACAGGCGACTATTTGCAACTATTTTTTGCCTGAGGCGACGCGACTATGGCAATTTTTTTTGTTGCCTGAAATGTATCAAAAAGCAACTATTTTCAGGAAAAGGAGATTATTGAGAGACTTTTCTGTACTCCTAGCGATGTTTTTTTTAGCATAAATTGGGATGACTATCTGCGGCCCGCGGGAGCTTCCGAACACGATGAATTCTTTTTTTCTTAAAATTTTAAAAATGTTGTAAATTTTCAATTGCAAATTTAAGTCATCATTTTTTAATGTTTTCAATTTGCACAGATTACATTGTAAGTCTATTTTGTTTCTAAATCGCCTTTTCAAAGGTTATTGCTACGAAATTCTGCATGATTTTATATAATATTTTGGGTTTAGTGTTTATGAAATATCTGTCTTAATTAAAATTATCAATTTTTTTAATGGAAAGTTGACAGTTCGGCTACATTCTTTTCAAAAGGCGGAATAAAACATGAAGTTTTTATTTACCTTTTGGAATCGTACAATCCTTTCACAAAAACTTTAAAATCTTAAAACTTCAGAGCTAATTTGAATTCTTTTTAAATATAGCCAGGCGTTTTTATTTGTTTACTTATTATTTCATCTTTAGTCATAAGAATGTTTCTACAAGACAATAACTTTATCCCGATTAGGTATTCTTATATATCGAAAAACCGTCTATTTGAAGTTATTAAATCGAAATTAAAATTTAGATGTAAAGAATAACAACATAAATAACATAAATAATAATAATTGTAAAAATAAAGAAAGACATAGGTTACAAAAAACCATCAAAAGTAAAACCATCAAAAAGCTAAACCTGGAAGAAAAAAACCACTGGCGTTCTAAAAAAGTGCCTCGTTAAGAGTTCTTAAAACAAATTTTACGAACTCTTAACGAGGAAAACTAGCAGAAAAAAGTATGGCACATCACGATTAATAATTCTTTCAATTCATTTTACTAATCATGAGATATAGTTGAAACTATAGCAATAGTTTTCAACTATTACTCACGCTAACGTAAAAAAGAGAATTTATAAAAAATGAATAATTTTCATTACTTTAGCACGCAATGTTATAATTATAATTGCGCAAAATACTATATGGAACTAATTCTTTTCTTTGTAAATATTCCAGCAAATGGGAATTTCTAAATTTTTATTTTTAGTTTTTTTAAAGAAAGAATAAAAGGAAATTAGAGATTAACTCTTGAAAAAATGCATAATCGTCTACCATCCTGTATGAGTTACTGCCCGCTTTTGTCCGGGAACTAATAGAGAACCCTTCTTAAATAAGAGCAACTTCCTGTAACTGACGGAATATTTTTTTTAACCCTGATTTATTTGTCTAGTTGCGATCAAAATTACGTTAAAAATCAAAGCTGCAACAGACATGTTAGATGAAATATGTATATATCAATATACGTATATAAATATATGTTACCGCTTAAATGTAGAAATCAATTATTCTACAGATTATCTAGCTAATGAGAAGATTAACTAGGGTGATTTGTTAAATTGCTATCAAAATGGTCATATACGTATATAAATATATATTACCGCTAAAATGTAGAAATCAATTATTCTATAGATTATCTAGCTAGTGAGTAGATTAACTAGGGTGATTTGTTAAATTGCTATCAAAGTTATCATATACGTATATAAATATATGTTACCGCTAAAATGTAGAAATCAATTATTCTGCCGATTATCTAGCTAATGAGTAGATTAACTAGGGTGATTTGTTAAATTGCTATCAAAATGGTCATATGCGTATATAAATAGATGTTATCGCTAAAATGTAGAAATCAATCATTCTACAGATTATCTAGCTAATGAGCAGATTAACTAGGGTGATTTGTTAAATTGCTATCAAAATGGTCATATGCGTATATAAATATATGTTACCGCTAAAATGTAGAAATCAATCATTCTACAGATTATCTAGCTAATGAGCAGATTAACTAGGGTGATTTGTTAAATTGCTATCAAAGTTATCATATACGTATATAAATATATATTACCGCTAAAATGTAGAAATCAATTATTCTACAGATTATCTAGCTAGTGAGTAGATTAACTAGGGTGATTTGTTAAATTGCTATCAAAGTTATATACGTACATGAATATATGTTACCGCTAAAATGTAGAAATCAATCATTCTACAGATTATCTAGCTAATGAGCAGATTAACTAGGGTGATTTGTTAAATTGCTATCAAAATGGTCATATGCGTATATAAATATATGTTACTGCTAAAATGTAGAAATCAATCATTCTACAGATTATCTAGCTAATGAGTAGATTAACTAGGGTGATTTGTTAAATTGCTATCAAAGTTATCATATACGTACATAAATATATGTTACCGCTAAAATGTAGAAATCAATTATTCTACAGATTATCTAGCTAATGAGTATGATTTGTTAAATTGCTAACAAAAATGTTTCATTTTTCAAATAATCTCTAGGTAATCTGTAAATTACGTAGATAATCTACACATTAAATACTATCCACCCGTGAAGGTGAAAATTGCTATCAAAACAAGAATATCTTTACCGGAATCGCTTGATTGAAAACCTCATTTTCTTCAAAAAATATATTAATTGGAAATGACAGTCGACTTATTTCAAGCTCTCAAAAATAGGCGCCCATTTTCAATACTTGAATGAGGAGAAACAAAAGTAATTTGAATTAGAAACCGTAAAGTTGCCAACGAGAAATGAAAAACAAAGGATAGGAGCCGCTATCTTTCTGCTTCAATTTCTTGGGATTATTTATTTAACATCACGTTATTCATTCAATTTTCGATATATAAAATACCAAGTTACTACAATTGTCACATTAGTTGATAAAATCAATTACTATAATATAAGTATCAAACTATCATATAAGTAATCAAACGGATTAAGATATTATTACAATTCAAAAGATTAACATACTATCACTTATTTATTTTTAGATATCTAAGGAATAAAGAGAATGCAATCAATAGATTAGTTGATTGACAGAGAAAAACAAACTTTTGAACTTCAACGAAGTGGAAACCGTTAATGTGCACAATGCTAGGTAAACTGAGAA